TGTTAAGTACTAACTAAACTCTGCATTTTGCAGATCTGTCTTTGAGTTAGAGAAGTGCAAATTCTTCTGCTTTTGGTAAGTTTCAACATTATGTTTTTACCATTTTTGTGATTTTATTACAGGATGGAAATGCGGATGTTGAAAATATGGTTGTTTTCCTGGACTAGGTTATATTTGAAGCTTCTTTTTGAATTTTCCCTCTTTTTTATGGTCTTATTTAGTTTATGACGGTGACATGAGTTGAGCTTAAATGGAATAGTAAGGATTCATATAGCCGATCTCAACTTGTATGGGACTGAGGAGTAGCTGTTGTTGTTCTCGTCTCTTTTTTGTGTTATGGTTCAATGGTGCTTGTTTATTGCGTCTAACGATGCTATAGGTTATTCTTGTTTAGTGGTGCTTCTTTTGCATTCAAAATCCATCTCTATTCGAGGATCATTTTCTAGCATAATTTCATTGGTTTTTCCGTCTTGTGTGAACTTATCTCGTAAAGTTGATCAACTTGTGATATCGTTGACTGATAAGGTTCTTGTAATCTGTACCAGATCGTTTAGATTTTTCTTGAAATTGAAGAACATATTTTTTTCCGATTATACCTATGAAAATTCATAGTTAAATTCCTCCTGACATCGATAGTACTTAACAATTACCTTGATAAGAAATACGAAAAGTACATTGTTTTCCGATTTTCAGAATCCATTCGCTCCCCTATTACATCATAAGTTACTTCACTTGGAAACTTGTTTATGGTTGTTATTGGCTGATTAAGTAAGATCAGTTTATAGTTCAATCTCATTTGTTGCTTAATGAGTCAAATAAGCTAATTTTTTCTTTTTTGATTGTATGAATTGGATATTGTAGGCCTCCTTTGTTTCCATTAAGCTTAAGACGTCTGAATATGAATAAACATCTTAATATTAAGATGTGCATTAAGATTAGATGCCTAAGATGTTGTCTTTAGATTTGAACACTGAATGATTACCCTGTCTGGTTTCATTTTAATGTGGTGCATTTTTCGCCGAATGGTTCTCTTCCAATTAAATTTTTTTATCTGCCTCACCCTCCGGAGATACAGAGTAATTTTAATTTTTTTTGCTCCATATCTCTCAGGTACTGCTGCCCGTCTTTAGTTTCTGTTGGTTCGACACATTCTTAACGATAATCTCCGAAGATGATCTTAAACAATCTGAAGCTAGGTGTTGAAGTTGTTGGTGCACATAACCTTTTGCCGAAAGATGGTCAAGGTTCTTCGAGTTCTTTTGTGGAACTTTACTTTGATGGTCAGAGGTTCCGCACTACCATCAAGGAAAAAGATCTGAGTCCTGTGTGGAATGAAACATTCTACTTCAACATCTCTGACCCTTCCAACCTCCATATGCTAACTCTTGACGCCTATGTCTATAACAATATTCGAGCTTCTCAGTCCAGGTCCTTTCTTGGAAAGATTACTATCAATGGGACTTCCTTTGTACCTTATTCGGATGCTGTTGTCTTGCATTATCCTCTTGAGAAGCGCAGTATCTTCTCACGTGTGAGGGGAGAGCTTGGTCTTAAAGTGTATGTTATTGACGATCCGTCCATAAAGTCCTCTACACCTATTTCCGCAGCCAATGATACTCAGGTTCACAGCCATTCAGCTCAAACTTCAGCTCCGAAAATTCCTAGATCTGAAGTGAGACACACCTTCCATCATCTTCCCAATCCAAATCACCCACAGCAGCAGCAACAACAAGCTCCTGCTATTCCTGTGCCTCATCAAGGAGCAAGATACATACCTGAGGAAATGAAGGTTCCAGAACCACAGCCTCCACCACAGCTTGTTCGGATGCATTCTGCCACAATGGCACAACCCGTTGATTATGCACTAAAGGAAACAAGCCCATTCCTTGGTGGGGGTCGAGTTGTGGGTGGTCGTGTTATTCGTACAGACAGGATGTCTGGTTGTACTTATGATCTTGTTGAGAAAATGCACTTCCTTTTTGTTAGAGTTGTTAAGGCTCGTGAGCTTCCTGCGATGGATATTACAGGGAGTGTGGATCCTTACGTTGAAGTCAGAATTGGGAATTACAAAGGAATTACAAAGCACATTGAGAAAAATCAAAATCCTATGTGGAATGTAGTATTCGCCTTTTCTCGGGAGAGGATGCAGGCATCCGTGCTTGAAGTTGTTGTCAAAGACAAGGATCTTGTCAAAGATGATTTCGTAGGCCTGTGCAGATTTGACCTCAATGAAGTCCCCATGCGTGTGCCACCAGATAGTCCTCTAGCTCCAGAGTGGTACAGGCTTGCAGATAAGAAAGGAGAGAAGATAAAGGGGGAGCTCATGCTTGCTGTCTGGATCGGTACACAAGCAGACGAAGCGTATCCTGATGCATGGCATTCTGATGCAGCTCTATCCGTTGACACAGTTGCATCCACTCTTATACGTTCAAAAGTCTATCATGCACCCCGGTTATGGTATGTCCGTGTTAATGTTGTCGAGGCACAAGACTTGGTGCCAACAGACAAAACTCGTTTCCCCGACACTTATGTGAAAGCACAAATAGGAAACCAAGTTTTGAAAACTAAGCCAGTTCAGGCTCGAACGTTCAATCCTCTTTGGAATGAAGATCTCTTGTTTGTTGCTGCAGAGCCATTTGAAGACAACCTTGTCCTCACAGTAGAGGATCGTGTGGCTCCAGGGAAAGACGAGATCATTGGGAGGGTCATCATCCCTTTAAGCATGGTAGAGAAGCGTGCTGACGATAGAATGATCCATTCTCGTTGGTTTAATCTGGAAAAGCCTGTGGTTGTGGATATTGATCAACTTAAGAAGGAGAAATTCTCGAGCAGACTTCATCTTCGAGTCTGTCTTGATGGAGGCTATCATGTCCTTGACGAATCCACTCATTACAGTAGTGATCTTCGCCCAACTGCAAAGCAACTGTGGAGGCCACCAATTGGGGTTCTTGAACTCGGAGTCTTAAATGCTGTGGGACTTCATCCTATGAAAACACGAGATGGAAAGGGGACATCAAATACATATTGTGTAGCAAAGTATGGTCATAAATGGATTCGAACTCGAACAGTTGTTGATAACCTCTGTCCAAAGTACAATGAGCAGTACACTTGGGAGGTTTTTGATCCAGCTACAGTTCTCACTGTTGGTGTGCTCGACAACACCCAACTCGGAGAAAAAGGTTCAAATGGTACCAAAGACCTAAAGGTCGGAAAGGTAAGAATTCGTATCTCAACACTTGAAACAGGCAGAGTTTACACACATTCATATCCGTTGCTGGTCCTTCATCCTACTGGTGTTAAGAAGATGGGAGAGCTGCATTTGGCAATACGTTTTACGTGCACATCATTTGCTAACATGCTGTACAAATACTCGTGTCCTCTTTTGCCAAAAATGCATTATGTAAGGCCTTTCACTGTGATGCAACTTGACATGCTAAGACACCAAGCGGTCAACATAGTGGCAATGCGGCTGGGACGAGCAGAACCCCCGTTGAGGAAGGAGGTGGTTGAGTACATGTCTGATGTAGACTCACACCTATGGAGCATGAGACGTAGCAAGGCAAATTTTTTCCGCCTGATGTCAATTTTCACGGGATTATTCGCAGCAGCCAAATGGTTCGGAGATATCTGCATGTGGAAGAACCCGATCACAACAGTCCTTGTGCACGTTCTCTTCCTTATGCTCGTGTCATTTCCTGAGCTTATTTTACCAACTGTTTTCCTTTACATGTTTCTAATAGGAGTGTGGAATTACCGTTACCGGCCTAGGTACCCTCCTCACATGAACACAAAGTTATCACAAGCTGAGTCAGTGCACCCCGACGAGCTTGATGAAGAGTTTGACACGTTCCCAACTAGTCGTAGCCCTGAATTGGTGAGAATGAGGTATGATCGTCTAAGGAGCGTGGCTGGACGGATTCAAACAGTTGTTGGTGACGTTGCAACACAAGGCGAGCGCCTCCAGTCACTGCTGAGCTGGCGTGATCCCCGTGCCACAGCCCTTTTTGTCACATTTTGCCTTGTTGCTGCTCTGGCCATGTATGTGACACCATTTCAGGTAATTGCTGCCCTGATAGGCATTTTCATGATGAGACATCCAAGATTTCGCCATAGGCTGCCTTCTGTGCCTGCCAACTTCTTCCGCCGACTGCCTGCTAGGACAGATAGTATGTTGTAAATTGTTGAGGTCCTAGTGAGGATTCATATTGCCAATCTCAATTTGTTGGGAATTGAGGCGTAGTTGTTTTTGTTGAACTCGGGCATTGGATGGCCTGCTACATCTATATGTATAATAAAACCCATTCCTACAACCTTTTTCCTTATTATGATTTATATATGTATCATTATATTAAATGTGCATTTTTGTTTTTCTAAGATTGGGGATACATGAATCTCAAGCTGGTTATCATTACAAAAAAATAAAATAAAAATGCTATGAAACTGATGTTAATATGTCGTTAAATAGCATTTATGTAGCTAACATAGTTTTTTGATAATCTGTCACTAAATGTTGAATCTTTGAATCGGACGATATAGACTTATATGAAAGGAAGTTATTTCAAAAGGTCGATAATTATCTATAATCTATGTGAGTGAAAACATAATAAGCTAGAAACAAAAGATACTTACTTTTAAGACTATTCAAAAATATCATCGAGTATGTATCGGATCCTCCACATGCTGAGATCCAACACGGATATAACTACTACAATTTTAAAAGGTATGAGCAGCATCTTTCACTCTTGTCCAACTTATATGGTCTTAATTTTGCTGTAAGCTAAGTGTGGATTAGTCCTGTGTTGCTCAGACTCAAGAATATTACCCCTCGTACCAAATCTATCAAAAAAACACTACTTCTGAAGAATCAACACACACTGAAAAATTCGAACAACATGGACGAGTAAAATGCTAGTAAATGTAACATCTTTCCTTGCAAGAATCTTATGGCAAAAATTGAGCAAACAGAAAAGAGAGATTTATATCAAAGAAAATCTCAAAACTTCAAAGTTTTTCTTGCTTTGCCAATTAGTGCACCAGACAGATGTAGTGACAAAAAATGAGGCAAAAAGTTCATTCATCAATTTTTCTAAAATGACATATGGTCCATCATCACACTTAACCTTCTAAAAATAGAAATATTACAATCTAACTTCCACCAACACCATCTTCTACACCATTTTGCTACTTTAAAGAACCTAAAAAGAGGATACTTTTGTTACATTGTGTGTTAGCACAAACCATCATTCTACTAGATGGGCAGAGCTAATTAAATGGCTCGAGCTGATCTCTCCTGCCGCATTTCATTTACAACAACAGCACATATATACAAACTCTGTCTTCATGTGTCCATTGAAGCAAATCATAATAATCATCCACGTGTCAGGTCAATCTCGGGCTGGGAATTTCTTAGTTCAGGCCTTGAAATCGGAGGCCAAATGCCAGTAGCTGAATTTGAAGTTGGATCTTGACTCATAGCATTAACCGGTATAGACGACTTTTCAGCAGATTCTTCATCGCTGCCTTTGGTACTAGTTTCTGGTTTGCTCTTTACCTTGGGACCATATACAAAGCTGCACACAACCACCTGCAAACAAAATTAAATTATTTGCTCGTCACGTAGATACTCCCTCCATTTTAATTTATTTGCTTGGTTTTTACTTGTCAAGGAGTTCAAGTAATGACTCTTGTGGTCATTAACTAAAGATATGCAAACATACCAAAATGCCCTTTAATCTTGTGATCTTACACATGCCATGTGGGAAGTTAGAATTGAGGAGTTGTCAAAAAAGGAAAGAGACAATTCTTTTTTAAAGGGACTAAAAAGGAAAGTAAGACAAACAAATTGAAATGGAGGGAGTAATTCTGATCTCCACGTCAAAGGTAGAAGGTAAGAAACTCGTAGAATCTAATTATGACAGGAGCAAGTTCATTATAACAACAGCAACTTCACTACCTGTACAGGGCTGGTTGCAATGAGCCTACCACCAACAGCACCCCCGAGTACATGCCCATCAGGGCTACTAACTGATATACTTATACCACCCGTGCGATCACGTGGACCACCACTTTCAGCGACCAAGTACGATCCAGACAAGCAAAGTATCTCAAAACGACCCTGCACAACATGATGAAACATTTGAATCTCAGTTAAGTCAAAGCACAAGTTCCACTCTATAGGGGCAGAAGACTCCCAACGAAATGATAAACAGTCTGCAAACTGGCAAAAGGTAACAAGAACAATTTTAGAGTTGACAAAAAACTAGTAGCTAAATACATTTTTCAGCTGACATCAACATTCACCTACATGATCCATGTTAAGAAGACAAGAATCACTTCCGAATATATAAGGGAAAGCATGTATGCATGTACATATAAATAACAATTCTAGCATGGAAATAAAGGAAAAATTGTGGGACTACAAAATTGATCTTTAAAAATTACTTCTTCAATTTTTGTTAGTTTTGCTTTATATGGTCAACACAATATTCTTGTTAAGTTTGACTACATCGTCAACATCAACCTTAAGAATTTTAGGATGAATCGACTATTAGGCATTCAAAGTCCAATTCCACATGGTTAATAGGCTTTGCACAACGTATAATGTGTGAGTTAAACGTGTGTTACGAGTTAGAATTCTGCCACGAACAAAAATCAAGTATTTAAGTGGAGAAGGGTAGAAGAGCATCTCCAATATCCACCGATTTTTTTACAGTGCACCAACCAAGGATTTCTCGGTTGTCAAAATTTTAAAAGTAAATTCAATTTGAAGCATTTAAGAACTAGGGGTGGTTTATCAAGAGAAATACACCTGGCCCATAGGTTTTTAATCATTTGAACAAGAACATAACACATCAGCTGATTTTATCTGAACAACCAAACAAGTATACTGCAAAATCACTAAATTAAGGTAGTAAATTGTGAAAAATTGAAAACTGAACACTTGAAGTCTAATGACTTTGTAAGTTAATGGAAGCATTATAAAGAGGCAATTGTGTTAGAAAGCATGATCTTAGGAGGTCTGTCATGTTTCTGTTTGGCTAAAACATAATATTAGTTGGATAGAGCTTTGACATGAACTTTAAAGTCATGCTCTTACTATTGTATGTGTTGAGGAAATTAGTAAAATATTATCAACCCAGAATTTTGGGTTGAGATTCACGAAAACTAATGGGACGTTAACAATTGCAGGCACTTAAATCTATACAAGATGTTTGAAGACATAAAAAAAAAAAGACCAAATCAGAACAGCACCTCACTACAATGCAATTCTGGCGTATCACACAAAACAAACTATTCTTCTTGACCATTTTGCTCTTCCCTCGTTTATCCCTGCAGCAGGATCAGACCTATGCTATCCTTGGTGATGATGTTGTGCATATAGTAGGGTTGTGAAGGAGTACCAAGGAGGAGAAACTCTCTAAATAGATGTCAAGATTTCAACTTTGAAATCTCTAACCCTGGAGGTCGGGTTGATATAACACCTATATCAGCCTTCAAGACTCTTCTCCGGTGCAGAACAACCTTTGTCCTTGCTTCCATTCCTAACACTATTCATCCACCAAAAATGCTCAGGAAAGGAGAGAGTTCAAGAAATTCTGATTTAGGGTCAAATCCTATCATACACTATAATCAAAATCTTAGGGTAAGAATTCCAGTGTGACATAACTATGCAAAAGTTCACTTGACATCAAAACTATATAGTATGTACATGGTGGACTCTAAACAACCAAAATATTTCAAATTCACTTCTATAAAATCCAATAACATACTCTACAAAATAAAAGAGTATGTTCATTAAACGATTGACATCAAATCAAACAGTAAAGATCAAGTAGCAACTGAATGATGAAATCATATTGCACTGCTTGTGCTTAACAAGCTCGAAGAATTATTAGTGTTGTGCAGACGATAAAATGAGTCACAGGAAACCCTAGACATGTCAGATGAACAAAGTTGCGTTTGCCAAAGAACTCCAACCTCATAGGTGACAGTCGAACCAGAACTTGTAGGAGGCCGTAATGTTACTGCAGAAAGTGACCCACTAGCTGATAAGACACATAAAGCCCTAGGCCTCTGTTCTGCAAACGCCAGTAATTTTGCTGCAACATCCTACAGACATTAAGGTACTATGTCATGCATATTGCATATAGGGAACACGCAACACCAGTAAGTGCATTAAGCATAATACAAAATAAAATAGGCTGTAGGAAGCATGTTTTTCAAAATCAGTCAAACAAAACTGCAGAAGTTTTGACTAATATAAAATGTTGATGGCGCGGGTACGATTTTTAACTTACAATTTATCAACTGCTATCATATTATCCCATTTCTGCTTAAGAACTCTCCCCTTTGAGTAACTTTTAAGGAAAAGTCTTCCAAACAATATCAAGTGAGAATGGAGGAACCATGAACTTATAAGAAATCATACAAAGCACTTCAATTTTTCATCTGATGCTGATCATATGGTAATAAACAACAACATACCCAGTGTAATCCCACAAGTGGTGTCTGGGGAGGGTAGGATGTATGCGGACCTTACCCCTATCGTTGTGGGGTAGAGAGGCTATTCCAATAGAACCTCGGCTCGACAAAAAAGAAAAGAATTTGAAGCATGATAGCAAGAATATATGACAGCAAAACAGCAAGATACGCATCAAATCAAGTATCAGATAGTAATAAGTATAGAAGCTGATCACATGGTAATATCCCACATAAATTCTCATTCACTCACGTGCCTGATTTGGTAATATATGATAGCATGATTTCAGATGTACAAATCGACAAAGTAAAACAGATAACACTACTTTACCAGATGGCTGCAAAAACCATCTTTGCAGCATGTGCAAGAACAGATTATATAAGCAAAACTGTGATGATCGGATCCTTCAAAAGAAGTGCATTTTTTTAAGAATCTGACATGGGTGTAGCAGCATTTTTGGAGAGTCCGAGCAAATCGGAAGCAAAACGAGGGAGGACATTACCTCTCCTACACTGATGTGTATAACATGAGGGGTAAAAGCCAATCCTGCTGAAGTATTCATCCATTCACCTGCAGTGAGCAATTCAATCTTCAGAACTAAAACTCAATTATTGGTCCATCTTCCGAATTACTACAATTGGAAAACTTAACCATCCAAGTCGAAAAATTATCAATACTTAGTGAGAACCATTGCCACCCAACATCCCCAACAGACAAGATAATCATAATAAAAAGAAAAATTAACCTTTACAAAAGAAGGGGGTCGATGGTGGAAGTCAAATAGCATTAAGACCTTATAAGTGGCAGAAAGCATCATTCAAGTGTCACCATCCCAAGAAATACAACAAAAGAAATTTGTTTTGCCGGGATGTTACATGTTACCATAGGTGTAAAATTGAGTTTGGATTCCTTATAAGATTATATTCCCTTTTTTCATTGTAAACAACATTCAAGCTGAGACAGTGGCGGATCCAGGATTTTAAGATCATGGGTACTCCCTCTTTAATATAAATGCATAATTATTTTAATTAACTTGAAAATAAAAAAAAATCTTACTATTACAAATAAGATTTCTAGTCTCAAATTACTGAGCAAATTACGATTAATATTAATATATTTTATAGAAAAAAAAAGGTCTTCTAGTCAGTACGACTCTCAACGACTTTTCATACTAAGAAGATATTGAATAATTGTATCATATCATGCGTGCTTACAATTACAAATATTTACACTCTAAAGTTTTCTAAAGCTTAAGCTTTAGTTGTAATAAATGAGATATAGGAGATTTAAAAAATGGGAAAAATTAACTAAAACAAAAGGTTAAGATTGAAATGTTACCGGAAAAAAGGGCCAAGATTGATAAGAAAGAAAAAACAAGAGAAAATGTTTAGTACTATAAGAAGTAAGTAGTAGTAACAAGCCTTCTCTTAAGGAAAAAAGTTCAACCGAGATTCGAATCCTCGTTTCTCACATTTTGAGCGCCGAAAATTCAACTTCAGAACCAATGCGCCTATCACATTTTATTGTTAATGGGTAATCAATCGTTCCATATATTAGTTTTTAAATATTTTCTGTCTAGCTTTACAAGTTACGTGTCAAGATTAATGGGTGCTCGAGCACCCGGAACCTACAACGTAGGTTCACCCCTGGGCTGCGAGCCTTGATTCTCACTAGAAGAGGCACCACCAACAATAACATAGCCGGTGTAATCCCACAAAGTGAGGTCATGGGAGGATAGGTGCACAAAGACCTTACTCCTACCTAGGTAATAATGAAGAACACAAATATAGAATATGAAAGTATATCATCGGTTTCACAAGCAAAAGTTATTTATCTTATGATGTAGTATAGACAAATAAGTATATCATAGAGTCCAAAATCCTAACTACTCAGAAATACTGAGGAGGTAGTGAGAATGTCATCAATGAACCAAGACAATCTTTCACATAATAATGCACAACAACCCAGAAAATTATCACTAGATAGCATGAGACAGAACATCTCATCAGCTATGTTTTCTCATACCCTCTACAAATGCTGTCACACCCGTGTTGGATCCTCCAAAACTGCACTTTTTTAAAGGATCAGACACGCACTCGTCAGCATTTTTTAAGAGTCCGAGCAACATAACTTACAAGTTTACACCAACAACAACTAAGCATTAGTACCAAATAAGTTGGAGTCATCTATGTGAATCCCCATTTCTTCATTCAAGCTCACGTCATATGATTTACACCACATTTAAAAAAAAAAAAACATAATCCACTAAGTTCAACTGAGAAACATACCAAGTGGAGCTAATTTTTGCTTCCATCCACTTCCAGGAGGTCGGCCCTTGGCCCGCTTAGGCCCGGGAGTAATTGAACCAGTTGAAGGAGTAGAGGACAAAGGTGACAGTCCTAATGACATTTTGGACCCATCAGGACCATATTTCCTTGGCCTCCCTCTCTTCTTTTTCACTGGATCACTACCAGGTGAAACACTAGATGCCACAGTCATATTAATACCATGAGAAAAATGAGGTGATGGGTTCTCAACAACTTGGTATGTGGAACTCAAAGTACCTCCTCCCCCTACATTGGACTGAACTGAAATGTTGGGGTTTGAGAGGGACTTATAAGTAGGTGGGGTAGTTACCCTTGTAGGTGTCCCAGACCCACCACCAACACCAGAACCAGACCCACTAATCCCTCTGTTGAGATAATATGCAGCACCCCCAGATAGCACCATCCCTTCTCTTCCATCCATGCATTTACTCACTAAAAACTTTTAAAACTAAAAAAAAAAAAACTGATTCTTGATGCTTCTATACACAAAAAGATTGAAACTTTAACATAAATTAGTAAACAAACTAACAAAGGCTTAAGTGGGGTTTTCAAGAAATGAAGAAAAAAGCTAATAATCAGAAGAAAAAAAAGAGGAAATGCTGGTGAAAAAAGAGACACACCCAAGTAAGAAAAGACAGTGAAAAATGCTAAAAATTGAATCTTGAACCAAAAGATCACATATTTTATAGCTTTAAGACAAACCCAAGTTGTAGTTTTAAGTAAAAAAAGTTGATATACAATTCTTTGGCACAACAAAGATGAAAAAAAGAAAAGGAGAAAATGAAACCCTAGATTTGAAGTGAGAAAAGGAGAAGGAAGAGAGTTTTTGGGAAAGAGAGGAGAGGGAGTGAGGGTAAGACAAAAGCGCAATGAAATAGAGAAAATTTGAGCCCTTTTGAATTAAAGTAAAGGAGTAGACACAGACAATTTCTTTTTAGACCATAGAATAATTATAAACTAATGGGGGGAGAGAGGGTTCAATAGAAGTCAAGTGATAGAGTAACACGTATTATATTATATTATATCATATTTGTATTATCTTAATAAATATATTATTTACATAAATTATATTATTCTTTGTCATTATATAATGTCATATATTAACAATTTGAATGACAAAGAAAAATAATAAGGTACAAGATAGAGCTATTATGAAAAAGTGGAGTAAATGATAAAATATAATTATTGAATAATAAGTAAAGTTAAGATGAAAATAAAATATTAAGATAACGACGCGATCACACCAAGTCAATCGTTACATAAAGTGGGATTTTTCATTGTTAACTAACTATGAATTTAAACGATACAATACAATAAAATTTAAATAATAATCAAAATAAATATTACATTTAAATTAACAATATAATATAATATGTAATTCAAATTTAGTCGAGCTCTAATACAGATATCGAACCTCGAGTGAAAAAAAAACCATCCAAACAAGATGTTAGATTGTTTTTGACTTGAGGGGCTCGTTGGTGGACAGTTGGCTAAGTTGGGTGCACCTAAGTAACAACATGTTTGTAATATTGACACTATTAGTACTACAAATTCTTGGGAAAAATCAAAGGAGAGAGAAGGGAAACAAAGACATTTTTTTCTTTATCTCTCTTTAGGGTCTATTTTGTACTTTGATGAATTTATTGAGAGTTCGGGACCTTAGGTTAAATTGCTTTTGGAAGTTTGAATAACAAAATTTTGACTAAAAATGGGATAATAGAGTGATAGGAGAAAGAATCAAAAGCTCTTTGAAAATAACAAAGTTTCAAATTAAGCAAAAAAAATATTGGCATTAGTTCTTTACACCAAACATTTAGATACATCATATATAATATGAATCTATATATAACCTTTTAGGACTAGTTTAGTACGAGAGATAAGAGATAATTAATTTTAGAATGAGTTTACCTCAAATTTAACCTGAATAAAATTACAAAATAACTTATTCGAGGAATATATTGTTATTTTATTCTACATTAAGGATGGAATAACAAATCTCGAAACAACTTATTTTCAAATCAAATGAGCCCGGACTACTTTAACATAGTTAATAATAGGAGCGTCAATTATACAATTTAATCGGTTATTTTATTAAATTTATATAATATCAAATTTTTTATTATTCTAATTTGTATAATCAAAATTAAACATTTTACGTTGTCCCATCATTTTGATTTTGGTTTAGTTTTGATTAATTTACGACATTCTATTATTAAAATGTCATGTAAGAGTCACATAAAAATTAAGACATGATACAATGCCTACTTTTGTGGGTGAGGAGGAATTTGAAGTTCCGAAATCTTGATTCGTAACCACGTGCTCTAATCCTTTGTGCTATTGCTTATGAATAACTATAAGAATAGTTAAATCACGTTATTATATATTTTATATAAAAAATATACAATATACTTATTTTTGTCTAAATATTTTATCTATTGATAGATATATATGGAGTGTATATAGTGTATAGTATTGTTAGGCCCATTAATGATTAAACCCAAATTCACAAAATTCCCATGACCCGTAAGTAATAATGTAATATATACATATACAAATAAACAAAAAGCCCCAATTCAGCAAATTCTAGGGTTTTTATTTTCCTAATCGCCGACGCCGATTGCCGTCAACCTTCAAATCGTCGCTCATCACCTTTATTAGCAGTTATCGTCGGTTGACGATTCACCGGTCCAGGTAATCTTCTGACTTCTCTCTTTTGCTTCATATTTTTCTCCTTTTCAGGCTTTAATTTCTCTGTTTCGTTATGTGCTTGCTGCAACAGCTTACAAGAAGTTACTTGCTCAAGTTGCATTGTAACTCTTTTACATTCATGTAGAATTCTGTAATTTAGCTTGTGCTTGGTTTTTTCTTTTGGTGCGTAAACTTCAATACTAATGAAATTGATGATATGACTTCTCTAATCTCGATATATTGATAGTAATGAATTTGAAGTTTGAGCCTGGAGAAGGGATATCTTTTTCTTTTTTGATGCAGTACAAGTTTAGAGTTTTTCTTTATTTTATTACTACTAGTGTTGTAGTGTTCTTTAGTTGAAAATTCCTTCAGTTTCTTATAAGTTACCAGTGTATGTTGTCGCAATTTATGGATGCATTTATCAAATAAGATATCCCTTTGTGTATAAATAATTTTCTTAAAATTTTATTGAATAAAACTTGCTGTATTGCTTCATCCGTATTGCTTATCTTTTTCTGTTGAAGTTTAACTTTCTTTTATCGTTTTCTCTTGCTTGCTGACAGATGAGGGTGAAAAAGCAGAAGCGGCATAGGAGAGCTGTGAGGTTTTACACAGCTTGTTTTGGGTTTAGAGAGCCATTTAAAATCTTCTGTGATGGAACATTTGTGCATCATCTCGTTGTTAATCGCATAACACCTGCTGATACTGCATTGACAAATATTCTAGGTGCCCCAGTTAAACTATTTACCACAAGGTTTATATCAACAGCTCCATTTTTCTCTTTTATGCTATGGTCTTTTACATGATCTAACTTTGTTTGCACGAGTTTGGAGGACAAGCTAAATATGTTTCGCTTTTAAACTGTTTGGTCACTTCCTGTCCTCTTTGCTTGCAGATGTGTTCTTGCGGAGTTGAAGAGCCTTGGTGCTTCCTATCAGGAAGCACTGAATGCAGCTAATAACCTTTTTACTGCACGGTTAGCCATTTATTCTCTTCTTCTTGCTGGCTCTTCTCAAGAGCAGGATGTGTGTTGCTTCAGTTCTCAGGACATTCTTTTGAGTTATGCCACATAATTTGAATCTTACTCTGTTGCAGATGCGACCATGAGACGCGGAAAAGTGCTGAAGATTGCATAACTGAAGTTATTGGGGAGAAAAATTCTGAACACTTTTTTGTTGCTACTCAAGATGCTGATTTGCGTAGAAGTCTTCAAAAGGTATTTGGACTTACTTTCCTCGATTTATAATGTCCTATATTGTAATATCAGTCATATAAACATGTGAACTGGAAAAATCCCATATTCTAGGATGTCTTGTCAGAAAAATCTTCGGCAGCTACTTAGTGTAATAGTGTTGCATCCATTTTAAAATGCGAAACTTGCAATCTCTGACTTTTGTCAGTAGTCAAAAGATTTTTAACTATCTAAGTGGGAAGTGGTAAAAACAAGAGATTTTTGTGGGAAGTGGTAAAAACAAGAGATCTTTGTGCATCTACAGGACTATATTGTGGTTCACCAGTTGACCTTAGCATGTGGGACTAAGATGATAAAACTGTAAAATATTTCTGTCTCCTTCTGGGGGCGAGGGGGTAAGATTAACAGTTCCACACTGTTTGGCAATTTAAATGGTAGTTTATGTACTCGCGATGGAGTGACCAGAATCTATTTTGTATCTGTAAATCTTATAGCTTGTTTGGACAAGCTTCTAGGGAGTCAAAATTGCTTATTTATTTCCTAAGTGCGTATTTTAGAGGGTTGAGGTTACCATACTTTTTAGGGAAAAAAAAGTTTTAAGTGCTTTTAAATAGCAGTAGAAGCTGAAAACAATAGCTTTTTTCCGAAAGCACTTCTGAAACCACGGCCAAGCACAAATTGCTGTTCTAATATTGACAAAAGTGCTTTTCAATTTGATTAACTAAGCACACACTTCTACTCTCCAAAATTACTTTTTCGAAAAGCACTTACCACAAAAAGCACTTCTCAAATAAGGATATTTCAAAAGCTTGGGCAAACAGGAGTTGCTTTAAAATGAACCTGAAAGACCTCCAACATTTAGGAGAACAATTTATTATGTATATGCCAACTGGCTTTTCTCCTGTTTTTTCTGACCTTTGTTTCCTCTTTTCCTGAACCGGGAAGATACCTGGTGTGCCCGTAATTTTTGGTCTGAGGAATGCATTATTTCTCGAACAACCATCATCATTTCAACGTGAATTTGCCAAATCTTCTGAAGAAGAACGTCTTCATATGACTGACCTGGAGTACAATATGCTTAGACAAAACAAAAAGAGGAGATTGTCCGATGACAAACAAGGGGATTCTTCCGATGCATCAGAGGAAAAGATAGATGATGTTTCACAGGTTCAGATTATCAATACAAATGTTAAGAGGAATGGAAGTGATGTCAAGGATAAAGTTCGCTTCAAGAGAAAGAAAGCTAAGGTTAGGGTTCATAATATTTTCTTATTTTCCCTTGCATAACTTAAAATTAACTCGTTGCTTCTCTCATTCTATTAAAATATTGTTGTTTAGGAACAAATTCTCCACTTTCATGTGTAACATTACACGTTAATGTTCAATGCCTTAGTTAAAAGTTCTCTCTGTTTATAGGTAAACAAACATTTTATTAAAGCAGAATACATTAAGTTAGTGACAGGTAAATGTAGAAAGACATGGGCTACAAAACTCATCCTTGCCAATTCTTAGGAAATGCAGCTTTTGCTGGTTTGTGACACGAACTTTTGAGAAACCATAATGATTTTAATAAAAAGAGGTTTTCTGGAACTTCTATGTGTGTCATTTCATGAATGATTGTTAGGATACAAAAGTTACTCCGAAAGTTGCTTGATTCATATAGAATGATTTTGTTCATCTAGATTGCTAAGTATCTTTTATTTTAGCTTGTGTGGAAATTGTGTTCCTTAAGCTCTGAACCAAAGGTTTTTTCTTTCTCTACGCTAGATGGCTGGACATATATTCGAAATAAGAGGTTTTTTTTTTTTTTTTTTTTGTATAAGTGGGATATTATTTCTTATAAGTAGACCAACTTTGAGTTGAAAAAGATTGAATGACATAGACTAAGTATTATGTTGTAAGGAAATTGTTTTGCCTGTTGTTCCTCTAAATTGATTAAGTCGGTACCATATTTACTTATATAATATATGTTGCATGGACGTTATTGACGTAATGCATGATTAGCTAAACATGTTCCTGAGTGACTCTATGGTTTATGCCTTCCCTTCTACAGGGTCCAAATCCACTCTCTGTCAAGAAGAAGAAAAAGAAGTCTGGGGATACAAATTTTACGACCTCGGGAAAGGTGAGATTAAGTTTCTCAAGTAACTGAAGTCGAGCTGGGTAATATATTCTCATATAGAGATGAAGGGTATTCATTCTTTTCTGCCTGTCTCACCACTCTTTTGTTAAAGAGAGAAAAAAGAACGTCTACGTGCAACGCCTCGTAAAATTTGTCAGTAGTTCTTGTATTATTCACCTGTTTAATTACTATAGCGCTTGACCTCTATAAATATCTGCGGGGAGATGGTATGCACTATGACCGTTGTGAATTATACCTCACGCATAGTAGTTCTCTTAGGTGCGACATTGATGGTTGAAGGTTATAGTAGGGAACGAGGTAGACCTAAAATCATAAGAAAGGAAATTGTCTCACTAGGACTAAAACCTGTGTATGAAAGCACTGGTGAGTTTGGCCATTGTATTTATTATTGGTCGGGTGTAAACCCAGCTGATAGTTTTTAGTTAATAATATAAACATTGACTAATAGATTAAAAGCATGAAAAATATAGAACTTTCTCAAACTTGAATAAGGTTCAAAAGAAAAAGATGCAAATTTGATCAACTATCTAGGCATAGTGATAGAATATTCTAAGTCAACAAATACTTTATTATATAACAATATTTATACTATATGACTTATGGTGAGTTTCTTAAAAGTTGGAATTTACAAACAATGGAGATTAGAAGTTGTTACAAGTCTAGATTAGTACTCTTGTACCACTAAATGAAGGAAAACCATGGAGATAAATCTGATAGGCACGAGTGAAAGTTGCTCCCCCTCCTGGTAATTAAGCCACTGAATTAGTGTAATAAACTGTATTATCTCCCCAACTTTTTCTCCTCTTGGTGAATGTGGAAGTTCCAAGTGCAGGAAAACAAGAATGGTGAGGGAACTGTGAGAAGCAGGAAGAGATCAAGGAAGAGGTCGCGCAAAAATGTTGTTGAAGGAAATGCTTAGTGTTGAAGGCTTTGTAATATCAGGTAAATGATGATCTATAAAGTTAGAAGTGAAATGCTGATGCTGCATCATAATGAGATAAATTTCTCTAGAGCACCATATAACTGAAGACACAGTTATTTCGCAAAAACGTCAAGTACAATGTAGAAATTGCTAATTGCTTTAGAGTTTACATGATCTACTGTTTTTCTCTTAGAACTTCCAAGAATTGACAATGGTTGATATTAAATGCATCAAGAGTTTCTTTATTCTCAACTAAATACTTGCTTGTGTTGGTCTACACTGTTATATTTATTCGGCAACTCTGCCCACCAAAGCTTAGGCATATGTGAGAAAACCACCTAGTGTTTGTTGCCATCTACTGCTTTTAATCTTACAACTTCCAAAATTTGATTATGGTTGATTTGAATGGATCATGAGTTTCTTTCTTTCTTTCTTGGAAGTGTTGCTTCTTCAACTAAATCCATTTCTTGTTTTTGTCTACGTATGATATTTACGAGTTTGTTCTCACCAGCACATGTATCGGATAACTCTGTCTACCAAAGCTTAGGCATACGAGAGTATATAACCTGGTGTCATTGCTATCTAGTGAGATTTGAACCCAAGATCTCACGCTTCTCCTTCCACTTCATTGACGTTAAATGCTTGATTAATTTTAGATCATATGGAATCTCTGAGAATCATGTCTCTTTTGCAGGAGGAATTTTGATATCAAGCATAGTACAATCTTCCAGAGGAAACACTATATTTATCAAAGGAAGTGTTAACTTGAAAGACAACAAATATTATGAGAACACAAGGGTCTATTGCTAATTGTGATCAATTTTGAATTTTCTATGAATTTTGCCCTTATAAGAACACTAGACATAGGTTCCCGTGCTAGTACGGGCCCAATATCTACTATTTTTTAATTTTAATTAATGCGATATAGATAGAATTAGAAAGTTCATTAAATTTTAATATGATTTTTAGATTTTTAAGTTAATTACTTTTTGTTTGCGCAAATTTAATGTGAAGTGGCCCATTAAGATGTACATAATTGTGGTTATTTTCGTTATCGATCGTTGATTTTTTACTCAAAATAGTTGCAAGATATAAACAAATATTGCCGACATTAAAAATAATAAGGCTATAATTAAAGAATGTGAATTTAAAACTAAAAGTCATAGCTAAAATGGATCTCATAATTTTGATAATATTATATTCTAATTAAATTAAAGTAGAACAAAAGAAATAATTTTTAAAAAGTTTTTTTTGCCGAAACACGTAACTCTCTTATATAGTAAGAGAAAATGATGAAAGTTGAAAACGCATTAATGTCAATTCTAAGTTCTAACAGTTGTGATCTGACTAATTCAGATTTGTGTCGTATAGTACCCACTAACAAGAAAATATCTCTTATTCCACTCTCAAAATTCAAATACGAGATGTTTGGTTAAAGGTAGAAAGACTCTTATTATTCTATCATATCTTGTTATATGTTTGTTAGTTGTCACAAATAAGTTACCCATTATTGCAAATAACTTAATTCGATATTATATCGCTTCCAATTCGATAAAGGGTTTTTTCATTTTCCACGAAAGTCCGTCCCAACAATTGTTGCAAAGGATATAAATATGAATATGAAAAAAAAAGGTAACCGCCTGGAGAGTCGTTTTTTCGTTTTTAAGTGGAATGTTCATTATCATAATAAGTAGTCGATTAGGAAAACTACTATCTCACTACAGAGTATACTCTTCCTCATCTTTTCCTATCTTTTTATCATGTTTGTTAGTTGCCACAAATAAGTTACCCATTATTGCAAATAACTTAATTCGATATTATGTAAGTGCACAAAATATTTATCTAACATTCTTTTTCATGTTATATAACATGAGAAATTGGCGAGGGAAAGGCTCAAAATAGTCCCTCATCTTTGGGTTAAGGCTCAAAGTCATTCTTGAGTTTTCACATGGAGCACTAATAGTCCCTCATGTTTGCAATATTGGTGCACTTTTGGTCCTCCTCAAAAAATTTGCCTATTTTTTAACATTAATTTTGTCCACAATTTTATGTAAGGAATGTCCAATCGTCTTTTATATATTTAGTAGAAATAATAACTCTATGTGAGAGAAGGTGATAAGAAGAACACATTGTTCTGTTCAGTAGAAATATTACTGCAGCTAAACTAAGAACATCTTAACATATGACGTTGGACAAAAAGAAAAAAATTTGTACTATTGCACGTGAAATTATCGTGATGAACCTCTCGACTTTACCTGCAATACAATTTATACTAAACAAGACAAGATGTTTTTCTTCTCACATTTTCTCATATGGAGTTATTATTTCTACTAAATATATAAAATGACGATTGAACATATCATACATAAGTTATGGATAAAATCAATGTTAAAAAATAGGCAAAATTTTGGTGGAGGACCAAAAGTGCACCAATATTGCAAATATGAGGGACTATTAGTGCTCCATGTGAAAACTCAAGGATGACTTTGAGCCTTAACCCAAACATAATGGACTATTTTGAGCCCTTTCCTCAGAAATTGGCACTAAGCAATCATTTTGAAGAAAGCACAGTTGTTGACATAGATTTAATTTTTTAAAATTGCATAAGAAAAAATTATGGTCACAAACTTGTTCAATAAAATAGTATAGTTGTGATTAAGACGTGAACTATTATTATTATCATCATATTATTATTACCATTATATTCATTATTTAGAAACCATTAAGAGTTGGCCAGTAAATAATATATATCCAACAAAGGTATTCCTAATCAATTACATCTTATAAAATTGTATGGAACATAATTGATTGGTCGGTTTGATTAGGGCGGTTCTTAATAAATAAATTTTACTAATGAGTTTTTGTGACACAATAGTTGATAATATATTAATCATCTTGATAAGGTTTTAGACGGCTTATTTTATTCCGGTCACAAGTTCGAGCTTTGAAAACAATGCTAATGATCGCGTAAGGGTATGATAGTCTTTTTCTCTCTTGTATCCAAAAATGAACTATATACTGTTATATTAATTCATTGATGCAATGTTTAATCAATTATATTTTGGATTTAAATCTTGATAATGAAGTTGATGCTTCATCCTCAAAATGAGACTTATAATCGATGTAAATTCAAATTAATTAAACTCAAGATATTGTTAATCTGAATTAGACAAACTCAAAACGAATACCAAATATAGAATAGAAAGAATAAAATGGATTTGGTTAAAGACTTAACAATGTTACATCATAAAAATTAAAACAGAAAAATGACTTATTCCTCTCAGCCACTCAATTAGCTTCATAATAAATCATTTCTAAAAAATTGTGGCTGTGATTCTCCCATAATTTTTTTTTAAAAATAATTAGGTTTTAAAGTTTGACATTAGAGCTTTTATTAGGTTACTTAGCTAAGGTTAATGATAAAATCAAATCAACTAAACTTTTTATGGTGTGCTATCTTTATGTAGACCCAAAAAAAAAAATTACTTCTTTTTTCGATACGAATAGTGAAGAAGTATACTATTATTGATTAATAGAAAACGAAATTTAAAAAAAAGGGCCATATTCCAAAAAAGTGTAATGTATTAAGTTCAAATTAGAATTATTTACTTCAAACTTCAATTTTTTATATATTTAATTTAAATAAGTAATATTTACTTCAATTTCATAATTGTTGAGATCAAGAGATGATTTTTTATGCCCTCATTATCTAATGGAAATTTAATTTAATTTTTTTTTGTTGCTTAGCTGCCCACATTATCAGAATTATTTGAAGATTAGGTGATTAATTAGTAGGTCCAGAGCAGCTAATCAAATGCATATATGCTTAATAAATAAATAATGTGATATTCTAAATTAGAACAATAAGAAAAAGAAATAAAACCATACAAGAATCTGCCAACTTTTTCCCTTCTGTTAATGTTGATAGTATATCAATAACTAATAATTTGATTAATAAATCAATTAAATATAATCACATTTTTGTGTCATTTCTAACCAGTTATACTATTTTTTATTCTTGAAAGAGATTAAAATCACATAAACAATTAAGTATTTTTGTTCTACTTTAAACCTTTTCATATTTTACCCTAAGGAAATGAAATCACACATAGGAGAAGGATGAGTTTTTTAAAATTTTAGTATGAGTTGGACAATTCTTCATTCGTGAGCTAACTTTTGCGAGTGAGTTAAGCTCAAAATTCATTTAACATGATATCAGAGCTAGACTCTTGATATTCCCCCCCTCTCCCCTTCCCTTCTACCCCCACTCATCCTATAATAGATTGTTCACACATTCAGTATTCGAATTGAGTGGGAGCGTGAGGAAATGATTAATGGAATTTCAAATCAGAGATGGATGAGTTTGTAGGACTCTTTATATAGAAGCATCTTTTGAGCTATATTTTGAAGTTGAATTAGGTCCAACATTCATTTCTTAACATAATATTAGAACTAGACACTCGATATTAGACCCTCAAATAAATTGTTCAGCCATCCAATGCCGAAGAATGTCTAAACACGCGCCAAGGGGGTGGAAAGTCTCACATTGGAGATAGATGAGTTTTCTTGAACTTTTAATATGACTCGAATAATCCTTCCTGAATTAATTTTTTAGGTAGATTAGGTCCAAAAGTCATTCCACATATTTCAATAGATACTAAATTATGAATATAGTATCAAAAGTGCAATAGTAGATTCAATAATTAACACTTTAATCTACCCTTAAGTTTGTCACCCTTTTTTGTTAATTTTTGGTTGATATAATATATAAACGTGTCATTTAACTGATATTTATGTCCTTCAATTTTAAATGTACATAATCAAACACCTTAATTATCATAAATTTGAACAGGTAGATATACACGTCCTACTTGACAAATCGCATGAGATGCACCCATTCAACATGCCAAATCACGTGAAATTTGCTAAAATGTGTGTGTCTGTTTATTCAAATTTATGATAGTTGAAATGTCTATTTGTTATTGAACAACATAGATGTTAGCTAATATCAAAGTTAACACCATAAATATTAGTCGAAGTCGAGTTAAAAAGAGGGTGTTTATGTATTATTATAATGACTTCTCCACTATATAAGGACACAAGCACATACCTTTTCTCAGTACCAAAAAAAAGTAGAAAAAACACACACAAAAAAAACAAGAAATCTTAGTGAGTGTGAGTGTAGAAATGGCAGAAAACAAAGAAGAAGATGTTAACCTTGGAGCCAACAAATTCAGAGAGCCACAACCCTTAGGCACATCAGCACAAACAGATAAAGATTACAATGAACCACCAGCTGCCCCTTTATTTGAACCTGGTGAACTATCATCATGGAGTTTTTACAGAGCTGGAATTGCAGAGTTCATGGCAACTTTCTTGTTTTTATACATCACAATCTTGACTGTAATGGGTCTTAAAAGATCTGATAGTTTGTGTTCTTCTGTGGGTATTCAAGGTGTTGCTTGGGCCTTTGGTGGTATGATTTTTGCCCTTGTCTACTGTACTGCTGGTATCTCAGGTCAGTTCTTTTTTCCCTAAAAATTTCAACTTTTTTTTGTTTCTTGTACTAAAAATGTCATTTTTTTTTCATTTTTTTTTTGTGTATCATGGGGTTATGTAGAAACTACTTTTATGAGTTCTTGATAAAAAGTTTTTAGCTTTCATTGCTCTTGTCTATTGCACTACTGGTATCTCAGGTTAGTTAATTGCTCCTAAAAAATTGAACTTTTTTTTGTTTATTTGTACTAAAAATGTTATCTTTTTTTGTGTGTGTATTATGGGGTTATGTAGAAACTAGTTTTATGAGTTCTTGATTATATACCCATATAAAGTTTTTAGCTTTCTTTGCTCTTGTCTATTGTACTGCTAGTATCTCAGGTTATCTTTTTTTGTGTGTGTATTATGGGGTTATGTAGAAACTAGTTTTATGAGTTCTTGATTATATACCCATATAAAGTTTTTAGCTTTCTTTGCTCTTGTCTATTGTACTGCTAGTATCTCAGGTTATCTTTTTTTGTGTGTGTATTATGGGGTTATGTAGAAACTAGTTTTATGAGTTCTTGATTATATACCCATATAAAGTTTTTAGCTTTCTTTGCTCTTGTCTATTGTACTGCTAGTATCTCAGGTTAGTTAATTGCTCCTAAAAAAATGATTTATTTTGTGTATCTTGTGCTAAAAATGTTAAAACTTTCTTTTTGTTGTTGTGTGACATGAGTTTCTCTGTGTAGTTTTGCTGCTGATTTTCTGACCTTGTTTTTTTTCTTGCTCTAAAATTGTGAACTTTTTTGTGTATTTCTTGTAAAAATGCTAACTTTTTTGTTTTGTTTGGTGTACCATGGGTATGTATTCAAAAGGGGTAGTCTATTACAGATAAGAGTTTTACTTCAAAACTATCAAGTCACCAAAGTGGAAGTAGTTTCTTGAAAATTGAGCAGTTAATTAATTAGACTATGGTTATTTCTTACTTTGAGCCGAGGGTCTTTCAGAAATAGCTTATTTCTATAGGGATAAGATCTGTATACAATCTACCCTCTCCTACCAGTGAGATTACACTTGAGTTGTTGTTTTTAATTGTTTCGCCTTCACATGATTCGAGTAGAAAGCAATGTATTTTCGGTTGAACCTACTTTTCTTTTTGAAATTTGTCAAGAGCTGACTCTCTTTTTTTTGGTACTGAAACAGGAGGGCACATTAACCCAGCTGTGACATTTGGTCTGTTCTTAGCAAGGAAGCTTTCCTTAACCAGGGCAGTGTTCTACATAGTGATGCAGTGTCTCGGTGCCATCTGTGGTGCTGGTGTTGTCAAGGGATTCATGCAGGGTCCGTATCAGAGATTTGGCGGTGGTGCCAATGTGGTTCAACCCGGATACACGAAAGGTGATGGCCTTGGTGCTGAGATTATTGGGACCTTTGTTCTTGTCTACACTGTTTTCTCCGCCACTGATGCCAAGAGAAACGCTAGAGATTCACACGTTCCCGTAAGTGTTTTCTTTCCCCATCCATTACTTTATTTTTGTTTCTTTTAATCGAAAAATTGTTTCTTACTGATAGATAATGTGTTTGGATCATCATACTGCAAGGATTTCTCTTTTCCTTTCTTTTAAGAATTGCCATGATAACTAAGGTAAGTATACTGGAAAGAGGGTGTGGGGATCTACGTTGCTCAGACTATTCAAATATGCTGCTGCACATGTGTCGGATCGTTAAAAAATGCACTATTTTTGGAAGATCAGATGTGCAACTGTCGATATTTTTGAAGAGTCCGAGCAACATAGTTTGGAAATTTGATTGAGTAGGATGAGTGAACATATGCCTTTGTGTTGGGTAATGAAGGGTGATTAGGGCGTTATGCGGAAGCTTACAATTGCAAGTCATGAGTGATAAATTAGATAGCAAGAACTTATACTAAAAACAAAATATTATTATATGGTTATGAAAATTAATATAAAAGAAAAATATTAAAACTATAGAGAGAAAAATCTCCCCATAAACAAACCATAAACAAAAGTCTTTTACGACTACATTTTGGATTTTATTGTGTTTTTAGTGTGAGAAGAGGGATCTTCTATTTATAGGATTCCATACGTTTCCTCTAAGGAAAGAATAAACCAAATATGAAAGAGAATTATATTTTCCTTTCAGAAAAAGTTTAAGCATTTATGGTAATACTTTAACTTTTCTTTTAAGGAAAAAATAAACTTCAAATAAGGTAAGAAAATCAGGGCAAAACCCTAAGACTTTACTATCATGTGGCATTATAGTTTGTCAGCAAGTGATGCCCCATTATTTCTGGCGGGAGATAGCAGATACCTAGTGGAATAGTTGAGGTGCGCGAAGGCCGACCCAATCACCAACTCATCAAACGGAAAATCATGCCCATACTAGCATGCCTATGTGGTTTGTCAGCAAGTGCTTTTTGGTTGATGTAGTTGTATGATGGGATACCACGCAATTGATAATATGGTCTAGGGGTTTGGCCAAAGATGCTGATTCTCACATCGATGAGTTACCATACGGGTTGATTTTTCAAATGATTACTCAACTAATAGTTATTATCTTAGTTGCTTGATTCCAATTTTTTTCAACAAAGAAAACGACTTTCTGATAACGAATGCATACAATCCCAACTTGCATCGGATTAAGGCGTGATTGCTGTTGTTTGAAGAATAAAGAAACTGCATTCTTAACTCTTGTATTGTGTTATACAGATTTTGGCACCACTTCCAATTGGATTCGCGGTGTTCTTGGTTCATTTGGCGACCATCCCAATTACCGGAACTGGCATCAACCCTGCTAGGAGCCTTGGAGCTGCTATCATCTTCAACCAAGACCAAGCTTGGGATGACCATGTAAGTCCCTTCAACTTACATTCATGTGATGATCATATTTCATACTTTCATTTCTATTTTGTTTTTGATGACCGGAAAAATACGGAGGTTCGTTGGCGCGTTTGAAATTCAGTGGATAATCAGTTCACCCTTCTCCACTTAGATACCAACGATCATAGTATGTCTGCTTATCTAATATAAAATCAATGAGTAGATCTCACCTCTCCTTCCCCCTACCATATTCACAAGAGATAGGTATCCACCGAAAAGAGAGTACGACCCCTTGTCCAACAACATTTAGTTTAAGCATGGTTGAAATGTCTTTATGCTATAAGTTGTGTTCAAAACTGTAAATACGGGCTGACCCAACTCAGACGGGCCGACTCATCATTTTGATAGGTCTTAAGATAGCCAGCCCAATCTTACGGGGGCCGGGCCGGGCCAAGGCCAAGGCCACATTGACGACTCTAGCTGTATTAAGCATGCTTCTTTGATAGAGAACACTTGGCTCGAACTCATGACATGCACCTAATTCACATAATCACACATCACATGTTGTGCTCTTACCCCTGAACCAAAATCGCGAAGGCTCTCGATTCTTTCTTTTCATAGCTAACAAGTTTTTTTCTTCTTTTTCAGTGGATCTTTTGGGTTGGACCATTCATTGGAGCTGCACTTGCTGCAGTTTACCATCAAATAATCATCAGAGCAATTCCATTCAAGAGTAGAGCTTAAGAGTTTCAACCATTTTCTTATCTTTCTAGTGTTTGTCTAAATGTGTATTTTCTTCAATTCAAATGTCATTTATGTGAAATAAATTCTCATCAAGTTGTATGTAAAAGCTTCTTTCAATGAAATAATTTTTATTTTATCCTTCTTAATTATTTATATGATATTGAATAGCATTACAGTCTTTCTATCTTTATGAGAAGACGGTATAATTTTAATATAAAGTATGCTACAAATAATTGAGATCAATACGTTCTAACTAGAAATGAAATATAATGTAGATATATTTAAAGGGAAGAAATGTTGTTTTCGAAACGTATTAAAAAGAAAAGTAAAACAAGCAAATTAAAACAGAAGATTTAATATATTTTTATAGAAAACTTTGATAATCGTGTCTGTCTATGTTCATTGTTGTCATATACTCCTTGTGATTTTGTTCAGTTTTCCTTGATTTCTCCCTCTAAAACAAGAAACAATTAAAAAAAGATCAATTCGTCCAACATTATTGCCTATCATATACTCTTTCCGTTTTAATTTGTTTGTCTGATTTTGATTAGATATGAAATTTAAGAAAGTAAAGAAAATACGTAGAATGTATCAAAATGTTATTTAATATTGTGGTCTTAAACATATCACGTGAAAAGTTAGAATTAAAGAGTCGTCAGAAAAGAAGAGAGACGTTCTTTTCAAAACAGACTAAAAAATAAAGTAAAACAAACAAAATTAGTCTACTACTCCATTCGGTTCAATTTGTATGTCTGAGTTAAACTTGATACAGAGTTTAAGAAGCTAAAGAAAACTCTACAATCTTGAAGTCTTAATTTAAAGATACATAAAATATATCAAAAGATTCTTTAATCTTATAGTCTTAAACATACCACGTGAAAAGTTGGAATTATAGAGTTATCCAAAAAAAAAAAAACATTATTTTCTAAACGGATTAAAAGGAAAGTAAAACACACGAACTGAAGAAAGAAGTATATATAGTCTACTATTATATAGATTATTCTATCATCAATTTTTATGAGTGAATTCTCCAAGAATATAATTCATAGAGTGAAACAAAAATTAAAATTAAAATTAAATGTGGATATTTGGAAGAAAAGGAACATCTGGTTTCTCATGTTGTTCAACTGCTGAGGAAGTTACTCAAGGAATTAATGGATTTGGCCTCACTGCCATTGTTACAGGTCACTTTTTATCTATGTTTGATAACAAAAAAATTGTCGTAAAGTTTTATTCTTCGTTTTATTTGTTGTCAACGATCCTATTTATGAGACTCTTTCATCAGGTAAGGAAAGAAAGGACCTAAGCATGATAAATTTCATACACATAGTTAATCCGTAGCTAAATAGCTTTTAGTTAAAATTGATTTCTTATATTCTATCGATAAATGAAATTATCATGAAATTTTTGTTGCTTAGCTACAAAAATTTGTACACCACTAATTCCTTGTTTTCTAACCATGTTAGTGGAAACAAAAAACTACTCATTTATTTCTATTCATAGTATAATTTTTCAATGTAGGAGATTCAATTCGACTAAATTTTGTCTTCGTTTTTACTTATCTCAGGAGCAACAAGTGGCATTGGCATGGAGACGACACGTGTCCTCGCCTTGCACGGTGTGCATGTAATTATGGCAGTACGTAATATGGAAAATGGCAAAAAAATTAAAGAAAATATACATAAATCCATTCCAAATGCTAAAATTGATTTTATGGAATTAAATCTGAGTTCTATGGAGTCGATAAGAAAATTTGCCAAAGAATATAACTCTGCTGGTCATCCTTTGAACCTTTTAATGTAAGAAAACAATATATTTATAAGTTTTATATTGTGTTTGATATGACGATAAATATTTTCGATTTTTTTTCACTATTCAACACTTTACAAAATTCATAAACTAAGAAAAACAGAAAAAAAGAAAATCATTTTTTATCCTTTTGATGAATTTTTTTTTTGGTGTTTGATTGTCAAAAAATAACTTAATTATTTTTTGAAAAAGACGTTTTCTAGATAATGTTTTTCTTATGACCTTTTTTTTTTTTTTTTTAGAGAATGACTTATTTTCTGAACTAATTCCTTGTTTTCTAACCATGTTAGTGGAAACAAAAAACTACTCATTTATTTCTATTCATAGTATAATTTTTCAATGTAGGAGATTCAATTCGACTAAATTTTGTCTTCGTTTTTACTTATCTCAGGAGCAACAAGTGGCATTGGCATGGAGACGACACGTGTCCTCGCCTTGCACGGTGTGCATGTAATTATGGCAGTACGTAATATGGAAAATGGCAAAAAAATTAAAGAAAATATACATAAATCCATTCCAAATGCTAAAATTGATTTTATGGAATTAAATCTGAGTTCTATGGAGTCGATAAGAAAATTTGCCAAAGAATATAACTCTGCTGGTCATCCTTTGAACCTTTTAATGTAAGAAAACAATATATTTATAAGTTTTATATTGTGTTTGATATGACGATAAATATTTTCGATTTTTTTTCACTATTCAACACTTTACAAAATTCATAAACTAAGAAAAACAGAAAAAAAGAAAATCATTTTTTATCCTTTTGATGAATTTTTTTTTTGGTGTTTGATTGTCAAAAAATAACTTAATTATTTTTTGAAAAAGACGTTTTCTAGATAATGTTTTTCTTATGACCTTTTTTTTTTTTTTTTTCAGAGAATGACTTATTTTCTGAAAAAGTATTTTAAATATTTGTTGAAAGTGGAAAATATTTTTCTAAAAGAGACTGATAATAATATCAATAAAATATTATTTAATTGTTTTTTTTTTTGGTTTTGCAAGTAATAATGCAGGGGTTATGATTCCACCATTTACACTTTCTCAAGACAAGGTAGAATTACAATTTGCAGTTAATCATTTAGGTAACTCAATTTATCTAATTATGTTTAATTTGTTGAAGATATAATTAAATAATTCAATGAAATATTAATTTTTTTAAATAATTTAAGCTTTTAGATAAGATGATCACACACTTTAATACAATATTAGAGCAAACGTCATCATAGATTTGATGAGTCTCTCAAAAAATATATTCAAAAATGATCATTTGATTAATTAACCCATGATAAAGAACCAAGTTCGCATATGAAAGAATATATTGAAGATACAATTAAGTAAATTAAAACATATGCTCCAACATGTGTGCAAAAGCAATATATTAAAGATGTAATTAAGTAAATATAAGTGTGATGATGTTTTGTCATTTTGAAGATACAAACTAAAGTAAATGAAAATCTACACTATCCTTGGTCTTTTAGATGCAATAAATAATAGTATGATGCACTAAGCTCTTATTATGTGTGGGATTTTAGAAAGGATCGTATCACGAGGATTTATGCAGCCTTATCTTGTATTTTTGCAAAAAAAATATTATTTCTGTATCTCAAATCTGTGACCTTCTTCCTAATCACATGACAACAATTTTATCAGTTAAGACTCTCCTACATCGTTTAGATAAAGATGAATACATTATTCAATGTATGATCAAATATGATGTGTTAATATTTTGTTTTTGCAGGTCATTTTCTTTTGACAAATCTTTTATTGGAAAACATGAAAAATACAGCTAAAAATAGCAAAAATGAAGGAAGGATAGTAAATGTTGCATCAGCAGCACATGATTTTGCATATTCTCAGGGAATTATTTTTGATAAAATTAATGACAAAGAGAGGTATATATATAGTCCACAATTAAATAACTTCTTTAATTATAATTTTTAATTGAAATTTCTTATTTAAAGAATAAAATATGATATTATTTTATTTCATGTTTAATTGAATATTTGATTTCAATTAAATATAAATTTATTTTATTTCATTTTTATTTCCCATAAAAGTCTTCTAAAAAAAATTAAGGTTAAAATTGAAAATAAAAGTACATCCTAATTTATTTATATAGTAAATCAAACACATATGTTATATTTATATTTTGTATACATTCTATTTTTAGAATTTTAATATTTCTTTTTTATTTGTAATTATTTGCAGCTACCATAGATTTCATGCTTATGGCCAATCAAAGCTTGCTAATATACTGCATGCAAATGAACTCGCTAAGCGCTTAAAGGTAATTAAAGTTATTATCATCACTTAAAATTGTTATTATAAAATTCAAAATTTATATAGTTAAAATTCTGATTTCGCCTCTATCAATATTTTTTTTTTTCATAAATAGGAAGAAGGGGTGAATATTACTGCTAATTCTGTTCATCCTGGACCAATTGCCACCAACATTATGCGTTACGACAATATCCTTCATGGTAAAATATTTTAACTCACTTTTATTTTTTTTATTCCACCATTTATGTAAAATCTCTTTAGTATTTAGATAAATTTAAAATTTTGGATTTATAAATTTAGAAGTGTAGTGTGTTCACTTGTAAGAATCTTAAGCATGAACTCGTCAAATTTAAATTTTGAATCCATCTCTGATAATTTTGACTATATATTTGTTCAAAAATAGTAGGAAGTCATCCATAGTCCATATTGAGTCATCTTTAGAGGGTTTTTGGCTTAGCTTATTAAGTAGTTTTCAACCTTCAAGAATGTTTGGATATTTTAAAAACGACTTAGAAAGAGTTAAAAGTAGGTACCCCTACTTTAACTTTTTAAAAATTACTTTTTTTAAGCTAAGTCAAACGGACTCTTAATCTTTAGTTTGACCCTATTTTCTCCCCCTCCCTAACCATATTTTACAGGAATAGTTAACTGGATTGGGAGATATGTGCTAAAGAATATTGAACAGGTACTTGAATTTTTCTCTCCTTACATTGATATTCAATACTATAGCTCCGCCCTTGTATTTATCGCCAAATCTTTAACCCCCTCCCCCCTCCCTTATATTTAATATTGTAGCTCCGCCCCTACGTATGATTATCACCATTTTTTTGTCCCTACATTGTTTATCCTATGATTATAGGGAGCATCAACTACATGTTATGTGGCTTTACATCCACAAGTGAAAGGATTAAGTGGTGAGTACTTTTCAGATAACAACATAGCTACAAACACAACTACTTCTTTGGCTAAGGATTCAGATTTAGCAAAAAAATTGTGGGAATTTAGCTTGGATTTGACCAAATAGGATTGTCAAATGGGCGAGTTAGGTTGAATCTGGATGAATTAAGATGCAGCGAGTTAATAAATGGACGGGTTAAATTTGGATTGACTAGGCGAGTTGTGTTTTCATGAGCTAATTTTGTTACCCCTAGTTGAGAACCTCAGTTCATCAATTTCTAATTTGACTATGTTATGATGTCTTTCTTTCCCGTCTTCGTATATTGTTTGTTGGGCTAAGTCTGATCCAAATATATTTTTAACATAGTGTGATATTATCTATTTTGGACCACGTCCACGCGGTTTCTCAAAAGCCTCACACCATTAGAATGATAGACGGGTCGATCAATTATCCATCTAGTTTCGAACCGTACACCATTAGAGGATTTCTAGATTTTAGGCTAAGTTGATGCCACTTTATGGCTATAGAACAAGATGACAATAAAGAACCAAACCAAACAAACATTATTTCACCTATCCAATATAATATATACATTGATTGGCAGCAACAAAATACTAAGATAATTTCTTCTTATTTATATTCAAGTTTTAATGGACAAAATACTCAATATTTGTGTTGGTGAAAGATAACAAGTACCCTGCGAAATTAGTTGAGGTGCACACAAAGTGATCTGAACTTGAACAAAATGACCTCGATACCTGTGCTAATGGAAGGTAATAGATTTTCACCAGGTTTCCTATAGAATTAGCTGAGTTATGCACAAACTGACTTGAACACCACGATTATCCAAATGTCAACACTCATGACAGTTTGCAGGACTTAAAATATCAATAAATATAAACAAATCTCTTCAAACACCTTTTGATGCCAGTTAAGATCAAGTGGCAGTTACCATTCAAATGTCCATGAGTTTTCATGATTGAATAAGAATATGACACTATGTCAGTCCACTTGTAAAGCTTCACGACTATTAAGAAATGGACCTTAGACCTGACTCGACTTCAAAATTTGTCTTATGAAGCAATGTATGCCAAGACCATAATGAGACTACAACTTGTATCCTCAACCAAATGAGGGCGCTATATTGGGTAAACCAAGAACAAGGGTTAGTCCGACTCTAATACTATATAAAGAAAATGGAGATTGGCCTCGCTCAACCCCAAAAACTTCCTCGTGAGGTGAGGATGGTTCAAAACTATATAAAGAGATTACATCCCATACCCGCAAGGCCTTAACTGGTAAAGTTGCTGCCATGTGACCAGGAAGTCTTGTATTCAAGCCTTGGAATCAGCCTCTGGCAGAAATGCAAGGTAAGGCTGCATACAATAGGCTCTTCCTCGGACCCTGCGCATAGCGGAAGCTTGAGTGCACCGGGCTGCCCCTTCTTACCCTCAAGGCCTCAACTAATGTGAGTTCCTAGCAAAGACAATGAGTTTCTCCGGTCACAAGATCAACAGGCGACAACATATAACGGATTCATATAACTGACTACAATGCATGAAACATTTGCGAACTGGGAATGATGCAATATGTGACAATGGCATTCTACAAAACCAAAACGAACAGTTCAAAATGACAAAGTCATGGCAAAACAAGAAATGCTTCGACAAAAAAAAAGAAATCCCATCAGCTTAAAAGTATGTCCTGACTGGAGTGAAGATGCAACTGTTCCAGGAAGTATACTAATACTAAATCATATTTGGATAGCACAAAGGTACAGCAATATATACTATCTTCGAGCAACTTGATTAATTCTCTTCTGGAGCTTTTGTAACGACTATAATGGATCTCCCCACGTGAAAGGCTATTGGGATCGATCCCTTCAACTTTACTTGGCGTGGAAGGCTGCAAGAGAAAAGAAAACTATTCTTCTTAGCAGCTTTTTCAACCTACCCGACCTCAGCTTTAGAAGTTAACTTTAAGCAAAGAAGACAAGAACTATATAACAAAAGAGCCATACATTCAGCAAAGACTTAATGGTGAAGAAATGAACAAGATTGAAACAAAAAAAGAATCACAATTCGGCATTTCATTAGCGTTGAATAAATACAATTCTTGTGCACATAACAGTCTTGATGAACTATATAAACATTTACAAATAATAAAGCTAGCAACTAACCTTCTCTTACCAATCAATCAATCAATCAATCAATCAATGAACCGCGTCTCAGTCCCAAACAAGTTGGCTTCAATGCCACGACCTACTCCTACCAATGCTTGTGAAAAAAAAACTAAAATCCCCTAACTGAACTCTGCCAAACCTCAACAAATTGTTGATCCTTTCGTGTAACAAACATTCTATTCCCACCAAAGCTGAAGTGAGTTATCCGATTTCCACAAAAATCTTTTGCTCTTCCCATATAGTTCTTCCTAAAAACTCTGCCTTCTGATCCAAACCTACCTTTTATCGAACCATCGATAAGAACCTCAGACCACAACTCAACATCTCCTCCTTTAGTGCAGAAAACTTGATTCCCATAGCTCTCGATTTTGCATCCAATTCCTTCCTTTTTACCATTTGTTACCTTTCTTTGATCACCAAGACAAATCCAAGCATTCTCAGAACCAATATTCCTCAAATCAGCAAGAAAAACCTCGCCCGAGTGTACTCCAACTTTAAAAATACCAGACAAACTATCCGAAACTGTGATATCGGAGAAACAATCAACGTTTTCCTTAATTTCCCAAACCGTATTCCCAGACCTTAAATCCCAAAACTTAATATTCCCAAGTACACCAGAAGGACCACTATGTGAACCAGCAGACATTAACAAGTTATGACTAGGTAACCATCTTAACTTAGTAGCTGGAATTGCTGAATCCAATTCAGCACCAAAGATTTCATAATGACCAATCTTAGTAACCGGTTTAAAATCATCGTTAACGTCATATACCATAATGCAATTCGAATTCCTCCTAGATGATTCGAAACTCGTAAACAAGAATTCACTTGATGTTCCAATTGCTTGTACTGTTGAACCAGACTTAGTCACATTTTCCCAATTAACATTCTTTTTAACAGAACCCTTAACAAGATCAAGAATCTGCAAACCCGAAAAATCAGTAGCACCAACTGCAACAGTTCTTGAGTTCAAACACAACATAGAATCAATAGCTGGAAATTGAGTTAAAATTGTGGATTTTCTCTTTAATGACCAATCAAAAGAAGTAATTTTACAACCATGAGCTACTTGAACTGAACCATTTTCTGTTGTGGAAATTGCTGTAGGTGAATCTCTACCAGTTAAAGGTAAAAGAAGAGATTTTTCAAGATCAAAAGGCTCAAATTGAGATGGGTTTGACTGAGAATTCAAGATAAGTTGTTCTACACCATAAAATTTTGCTTCAAAAATCAAATCTTGAATATCAAAGTTTTTAGCTTTTGAGGGTAAATTTCCAGTTCTTAAAAGAGATAGTAAAACAGAGAAAATTTCAGGGTCTCTATCAATAAATGGAACTGAATCATTATCTAAATTACTAGAAATTGTAGAAAAAAGAGATTTTGAACCTGCTTGATTTAGGGTTTGTTTAGTTGTTTGAAAAAGATGGCCACCAACATCAATGGTGACTATGTTGGAATTTGAATCCATGTTGTTGTTGTTGTGTCTGAAACCATATGAAAGAGGGTTTGATCCAACAAAAGGTGACATTTTTATGAGAAAAAACAGAACAAATTTCAAGAAAATTTATGCTAACTTGAAACTCAAGAAAACAAGAAAGAACACAAACCAAATACTAATAAGAGACCTAATTAAAGTATGGGTTGTTGAGTTTGTTAGAAGATGAATCAAGAATGGTTGACAAATGTGGGAATTTATTAGGTGGGGGGTGGGGTAAAATGGTGGCTAGTGGTCAAGAATGACCTAAGTCTTGTAGATTTCTTAGTGATTTCCTTTTACCATTTGAGTGTCATTAGGAAAGGAGTCCAATGTGGACCAAATTTGTGGTCTTTCTTTGTTCCTTCTTTGTTTTGGGGGGTGGGGGAGATGAAATGACAACAACAACATATTCAGTTTAATTCTATTCTATAAGTGGAAGGGTGGTATGTATATAATTTTATCTTTTTTTGGTGAAGATAAAGAAGATGTTTTTAATAAATTCTTGGCTCAGATAAGAACATATAATAAATATTTCTTTTGTGAAAATAGAATATATTAGATAAAAGAATTGTAGTAACAGCAAATAACACGCTAACTGATGCAAAGAAAATAACATGTAATAATCAAATGAAGCATAAGATATAATAGGAACATAATAATAATAGTACATAGAAGGAAAATTAGATGATGCTTGATTGTCTGATAATACATTTTATCCTAATTCTTGACTTTCATAACCTTGTATCTAGAATCGTATCCTCAAGAATTTACAAGTGGATATCTTGTCTAATCACCTTAATTAGGTGAGAGGAGATATAATCTCCAAATACAACTCATTATTAATTTGTATCATGTTTGGTTGTATTTGTGGAAATACAATTTTCATATAAAAATCAATAATAAATTATATAATATTTAGTTGTTAGTTTTGTGTTTTATTCATAAATAATATAGGCATAAGTTATATAGGTATATATATTCAATCCCCTTAAGGTTGGAAACAAAAGTGAATCCACGATATTAGGAATAGACGCAATAAAATTTGATAAGTTTAGCTCAAACATTTTGTATGTATATATTATCAAACTCATTTAATATGTATAAATATTTTATCCAAAAAGTAATAATTTAATAATCTATAATCCTATGGGCCACACCTAATTTTAATCATTTGGTTGGAGGAATGAAGTATAGAAAAAACAATTGTAATTACGTGATTTAATATTGAAAGATTCTTTATCTTATGTTTAGTTGCCAATTTAATTTCATGAATAACGAATACATTAATGTAAGCATTATATTTGTTAATTTGTATCAAATAAAGAAGGAAGATTGTGGTAGGTTAATGGTGAATGTAAAATTAATCGAGAAGAATCATATAATATGTTAGAACGTGCTCGCTCAAATACATGTCATATTTTGAAATTGAGATAAATGATTTACATGAAACAATATAGATATATGATATTTATTAATTTGAATAGATATTGAGTATCGATAATAAAAAAAGACATGCAAAGAAAGACAAATTGGAATAAACACCACTAGGGACGGGGTTGTAGTCAACAAAATATGATTAATTGAACATTGTCATAAAAATTCTAAACTATCCTTCATAAAATTTCTGACGTTCAACCTGAAACATATTTAAAATATCCATAACAATAAGTCAATAACCTACCAGCTAATAACCACATACTTACCAAACTTTAGTTAATAAATACAAGTTGACTAAGAGTTTGGTTAAATATGTACAACTCACAACATCATTATCATCAAGTCACAGCTAAGTCACAGATGTGCAATGTATCATTTTCCTTTACAAAAGATCTCGTAAACGTTTGGACATGAATCGGATGATATTTTATTTTTTTTAAAAATAATATTATATGGAATTAAAGTTATAGTTGGAGATGTATTTCACTTGGAAAATGTTAAAATTTTATGAGGAACCAATTTTTAAAACTTGTTAAAACAATTGTTGGAGTAAAACAAATTGATTTTGTACTGAAAAGTTCTACATTGCTCGGGAGAAGAGGAGGGGGAGGGGTGGGTGAAATGCTCGCTGATATAGACAATTTCATATCCAGACTCAAATTCGAAACCTTTAATTAAAAATGAAGAAATAATTACCATTTCACTATTATGACCGATGTTGTCGGTATGAAGTTACCTTTTTGCTTATATATAGGAAGAAACCCAAATTGAATCGAAGCCCCTTTTCAAAAAAAATCGAGGGTTACAATTCAAAACTCGATGGATAATGGGTGCATTTTTCTATTTTTCTTCATTTTAAAAAATAAGTTTTTTTCTGCAATAAGATTTGAAACCTATGACATGTACTTAACTCACTTATCTCGTGTTGTGCATTTGCCATTAGACCAAAACCTCGAGAGGAAACAAAGTTATAGTTTATCCAATGCAAATTTCTAAAATACATCTCTATCTTTTGCCTTAGCTCAACAAGCACCCTCTATCTTTTGCCTAACATGTTTTTATGTTGTTCGGACTCACAAAAAATATTACTGCACTAGTATTAAATTCCAAAAATATACCTCATTCTTTTTTTCTTTACCCTCCTTATGAGCTCCCATCCCTTTTGCTCCCTTGGTGACTCGAACTCTCAACCTTTGGGTTGAAAGTGAGGGGTGCTTACCATCCGAGCAACTCCCTCTCGTCAAAAAAAATATACCTCATTCCATTCGAAGATAACACCTTAATATTCACAATTTGTTTTAGGATGATAGTGGGCTACATACCTTGCAAGTCGGTTGGGCCGATTCAGTAACCCAATCAAATTGGCCCAGAAAAAAAAGAGAGGACTTCAATCGGCCCATGATTTTGGTCTAATCCCGGCCCATATGCAAGTACGGTCCGAGTCCATTTACCTGCCCAATTAGAAGGGGCAAAATGCATAAATATCCACTTATGAGATCGTGATTTAGTTTATATTCAATGTTAAACATCAACTGAAGTTGAAAATCCATATCTCACTTCGGATATATTTGTATAAAATAGAGCATTGTAAAGATCAAATATCAAACATTTTTACCTAAAGTTTGTTATGTCTTATCAAGGATAACTTTAGATATTTTTAACTGAAATTGTGACCTTCATAACGCATATTTCAGACATTTTTTTATTAAAGCTATTTTCAAAAAAAATGAACTAGGATTATTGATTGATTTACTTACTCATCAAAGACCTAGCTAGGATACAGTCTTTTTCCTTTCTTTTTTGTTCGAGGAATCCTAGGTTGGTAAGCTAAATATAAAAACCTAAAACCTAAGCTCCTATAAGCAAACTCCAAGTGTAGAAGCAAATGTTTACTTTGAGGCTGACACTAACTTGTATGGAGAAATAAAAAAACCAAAGTTATGAATATGGGGGCGGGAAAGCTATGAGATCGACATAATTCAATAATTTTTATTAAAAATTGATTAATATGCCAGATCCAACCACAATCATTAAAGTCGTGATAGAATGATGAATTTTTCTTTATTTTTAACTAGAGTTTTCAAATTCAAATGTATAGAATAATACATATTTTTTCATTTTTAATCAAAAGTCTCATATTCAAACCTTATATATACATTCACTCCCTTTGAACAAGAATACTTTACGTAAATTTATTCGATGCATACCTGAATCAATCGGACATAGGGAGAAATCAAAAAATCCCAATAACCACTAAAAAAATTGTTTTACAATCTTTTTCTCATACGCGCGTGTAACTGAAGTAATACCTCATCTGCAATAACATTTCACTGTAACAACTAAATAGTGTCGGAACAAAGGATATCATTCAATTTTTTCGTATATTTTCCATAATAGCGTTTCACTATAACAACTAAAAAAACTATCAAAGCTATCAACATCTTTACGTTGTTATAAAGAGGTTTGACGGTATAACACGGACTACTCCTCACAAAAATCATTAACCCCAAAAGCCAACCACAACTTCTCATTAAAAGTCCCCATCATATCCTCCGGTACAAACTCCTTCCTACAAAGCGGACACGTCTTCTGATCATGATCCATCCAACGGTCCACACAGCTCCGGTGAAACACGTGTCGACAATTCATCAACATCCTGATCTCGTCGCCGGAATCAAACTCGTAAAGACAAACGGCGCAGTTCTCCGGCGGGTCAACTATCTCGGAAAACTTCACTACCGGTAATATCTCCCGGATTATCGCCGCCGACACCGAACACAACCGGGTATTCTCTTCTACGGGTCGGGTCGGGTAAGGAAAGTCGGGTTCGAGGAAATCGGGGAGACCGAGAATTGTGAAGAGATTACAGATGAGTTTTCTGATGAAGAATAGAATTGAAAGAAGATGGAGAAGTAATTTGGGGAAATTGAGATCTGTATAGCCTAGTGGAAAACCCATTAAGAAGGTGTTTTTGTGAGTAATTAGTGTGTGTAAAAATGGAGATTTGAACTGAGCTGAGATTCCTTGTTAATGGCGGAATGGGAGGTTTATATAGTGGCAATATTTTGGGGGAAATGTTCAAATTTGCCCCTAAAGTAATCAAATTTGCGATGTGTCCACTACACACGGAGAAGTCGTAGGGGTTCAACATATATCATACGTACATAAAAAATAATAATTTTTAATTTTATATATATAAAATGTAATTTTTATCGAAGAGAATTTGAATAAACACCCTCGGTTCTATTTGCCTCCGCAGGTGGCCATGATATGATAAATATAAATTATTATATTGAGATTGAAAATAAAATATTTTTTGAAAAGCAGATATGATTCTGCATAAATCAAAGTCTAATAAATTATGACTATCTATTTTGTCATACCGTAGAATATTAAAATCGAATTAAAAATATGAAATTATAGTGAATCAATTTGATGAGCTAATGAGTTGTAAGGTATGTGTACATTTTATTCTCTTTAGATTTTATTTTACGAAACTATATTAGGTATGTTATTGCTATTGGTTGTAATATACATTTCTCATTAATTTGCGATGGAAAAAATCTCTATTTCTGATAGTGTATAATGGATAATATTAGACTAAAAGTTGAACAAACTATTAAGTTGCTCAATTTTGAATAATAATGAACATATTTGGCCTTTTTTTTTAATTCCGATATTTAGTTTCTAGCCTAACTAATTTAGATTTATGCCTTAAAGTCATGCTTTGGGAGGAAACACGCCTTATCAAAGATAGCTATATTTACAAGACTCGAATCTGAGATCAGTAATTAAAAATAAAAGATCACTTTAATGAATACCTAATTTAGAAAATATTTTTGGAGTGGGGTGTGT